ATGCTGAGTCTGTTGAAGTTTTGAGAGGGGGGAGTCTACTTTTTGATGAGCGAGAGGAACTCTTCTCTTGTCTTTTGTCGGTCTCTGAACACGCCGAGCATGCAGCTGGTGACGGTCGTCGCGCCGGGTTTCTGCACGCCGCGCATGGCCATGCACAGATGCTCGCACTCGACCACCACCGCCACACCCTGCGGCCTCAGCGCCTCGTCGAGCGCCAGTGCCACCTGCTTGGTCAGGCGCTCCTGCACCTGCAGCCTGCGTGCAAACGTCTCTGCGATCCTTGCGAGCTTCGACAGCCCAATCACCAGCCGGTTGGGGATGTATCCGATATGGATCCGGCCGGTAAAGGGAACCATGTGGTGTTCGCACAGGCTGAAGATCTCGATATCGCGCACGATGACCATCTCGTCGTGCTCCTCGTCAAAGATGGCGTTGGCGATGACGTCGCTCAGCCTCACCTCGTATCCCTTGGTCATCCACAGCAGCGCCTTGGCGTATCGCTCGGGCGTCTTGACGAGTCCGCTGCGGGTGGGGTCTTCACCGATGCACTCGAGCACCGTATGGATCGCAGCCGCCAAGCGCGCCTGGTTGGCTTCCGCCTGCGCAGGCGTATGGTTGAGCCTATCCAGCGTCGCCTTGGCCGGCCACCCAAGCCCATTCGGATCCATGACAGGAGTTGCGGTTCCCGACGCTGCCCACGCCGACCCGATGTACGTCCTCTCTCCCGTGGGCGTGCCCAATCCACCGCCGCGCGTCTGCGCCAACACATCCAGCTCCGCACTCATCTTGGTGGCAGGCGCACCGTGCACGGCCGTTGCCGACGTCGAACGAGACAGCAACGCCGCGGCTGCCGCATGCGCATTCGACTGCACCCCCGCCGACGATGCTTCCGTGGACGGCGACGAGGTAGCCTGCACATAGCTCGAGCCACTCGACGCCGCTGCCGGCGCCGCCGCACCCAGGTTGAGCCCGGACACGCCGTTGGCTAGCGCCCAAGTCTGCTGTCGTGTCGCCTGCTCCTTGGGCGGCGGCGCCGGCACATCTCCTGGATCACGGCCACAATCGAGCCCATTGCCGTCGGGCGCGTAGACGTCGTTGTTGCTACCCGCCGCAACCGGGTGGGCAGCGGCGCTGATCTGGTCCGAAAGCCCGCGCAGCTCGCCCGTCGACATGTTGGCGCGCTGTAATGCGGATGCGAAGAAGGTATCGAAGAATGCCGATCCCGAGTCTGCCTCTCCACCCTGCTGTGGGGGCTGCGATGCCATGTTGCCAAAAAGAGAGATGGTGGGGGGGGGGAGAGGTGTGGAGAAGAATCCGCGGCTGCCGAGTCAGACCGAGTCCTCTTTCATTTTGGCTGCGCCGATATGAATAATTGCGGAGAGAAAGCCTTCAAAAGGCAGCTCTAAAAAAAAAAGTCGATTTTCCCACTCTTCGCCGCCACATCCCGATCTTGCTCCACCCGATCAGTTGGCATCCCGATGGGCTCCGCTGCGCACGATTTGTCAGTCCTTGCGACCCCTCTCCATCTCTCTCCCACCACTCGACGCCTCTCTCTCATCTCTCGGCACAGTAAAACAGCAAGCATGTCGTCGATACGATCGGTGTTGCGCACAACTGCGCGTGCATCTCTGCCCTCCAGCCGCACGTTCAGCACGACACCGTTGCGGCTCAACACGGCAGCAGCTTCGGCCACGGACGGCGAACAGATGATCCGCACCATCCTCACCGACCGCTTCCAGCCGTCCGTCCTCAAGGTCCAGGACGTTAGTGGTAGGTCCTCTCTCCACCCCTTCTTTCACCCACAGCATAGCATCGTACTGAATTGGCGTCTGCAGGCGGATGTGGAAGCTTCTACGCCATCCAGCTTTCGTCGAAAAAGTTCAACGGCCTGTCAACTGTCAAGGCGCACCGCCTCGTCAACGAGCAACTCAAGGACGTCATCAAGGACATTCACGGTCTCCAGGTACGTCTAACCCCCGCTGCACCACACACGTTACACTTCCGACCATTCTCACCTCAATCTTCCACTCGCCTCGCATGGATGACTAGCTCCGAACAATGCCCGAGGAATAATCCGCTCTCTCACCGCGCATAAATCACAATCTCACTTGCCTCTCAGCCTGCTCTGGGTGCGTGTGCGCGTGCGCCTCTTGCCATAACGAGCTGCGTATATGAAAGTGGGAAACCCTACCGTTGGGACTCTACCGAGGCCTTTGGGGTGGACTGTCATTTTTTGGGGCTGTGGTGATGGGGTTGTGATACATGCTTGAGAACCTAACGGACTAGCGAGCTGTTTTTTACTCGGCCGAGGCACGCGTGTAGACGAGCTGGCCGTGGTGGTGCACCAGACGCTTGATCTGGCCCTCGCGCTCCAGGTGGCGGATGGCCACACGCGCCAGCGAGCCGCTGATCTTCATGCGGTCAATCAGCGTCGACTGCGAGATCATCTTGAACGTAGGCACCTCCTTCAGGATGCGGTCGTACGTAGGACGGTCGAGAACAACCATGTTCTGGGCCTACTCATCGCCAAAGAATCAAGAGACAAGCCAAGTTAGCAAATCATCCTTCGAGCGAATGCGTGCGTGCGTAGGGTTGTGTATACGTACCTTGTCCTTGACCTTGCCCTTGGACCACTTCTTCTTCTTGGCAGACTTGGACGCCGCGGCGGCGATGGCAGCTTTCTTGGGCGGCATCTATAGTTAAGCAGGCACAGCAATCGAATGCGCGACGCTTTGGTCAGCTTTGTCTTGGAGGCACGATGGACAATGCGATCACCACGGGCACAGCAACACGTGTTCGCTTCAAGTCGACTGGGCGTGAGGTAGACGTGGAGGAATGCGGCGGCAGAGATGCTAAAACGAGGGCGTAGGTCGTCTGCGTGGGCGCTGCGTAGTGCGTGTTGGTGTGGCCGGTCGCGAGGCGGTTGCCGGATCAAAGGCCGAGCGGGCGTGCGTCGCGAGAACATGGTCATTGGCAACTGCTGGAGCGTTGCATGGCGACATGTGCATCCACCTCCGCGTAGGTCGGATGGCTGCAGCCTGCGCGAAAACACCGTGCGGCCATACAATGCTGTTCAACGCTGTCCAATGCGAGGCAGCGTATCGCCATTCGAATCCCCATGTGCAAGTGAGGCTTGGTCGGTGCGAGCTGATGATCCGCGTCCCAAGTCTGAACGCCGTGCTCTGCGGCGAATGATGCCTCTCCCTGACCCCGGCCGACGAGTAAGCCATCCTGCCGAAGATCCGATCCGTATCCTGTTCACCGTCCCGTTCCTATCTGCTGCCGCGCCTGAAGTCCCAAAAGCTGGATCCATCATCGCCTTTACTCTGCGACGCTTTCTCCTGGTCGGTGTCGACTGTGCTGATGGTGGCGTTATCATGTTCGTGGCGACGGCTGTGATGGCGAGATTGTGTGCGTGTGTGCTGTGCCGGATGGGTGATGCGCGGATATAGTGCATCGACTTACCTTGATGGGTTTGGTGGATGACGGTGGAGAAGATCCAAAGCTGGCCGGCTGCGATATCGACCAAGGCCTCGCTCCCTCACACCCTTCACACCCTTCACACCCTCGGCAGGCCTGGGCGCCTCCGAGAGAGTGGCTCACAGCTGCTGGGTTTGGCGCGGCGCGAATCACAGCAGCCCAGCGCGGTGCTTGAGCCAAGGGCCCGGAGCGCGCCAAATTTCCGCTTCGAGGGGTGCGACGTCGACGCGGGCACTACAGCAGTGTGGTTTTTCAAGTGAACTAAGCACGTGATGCTTTGAAAAACCTCGGCCGAGGTTTCCATTAGACAAGATGTTAGAGAGGCACCTTTCGACAACCAATCGACTCGCAAATTTGGCATTTTGGCAAAGCCGTACGAGAACCTCCTTGAACTTTGGCACACCGGTCACCGCCGACCGATCTCGGCTCTCCACGCCCGCTGCGATGCGTCCATGCACCACACCAGCTCTGCACGGCCTCGCAACTTGCAAGTCCAGCTAGACCAACACAAACGCGCTTCGACGACGTTACACTCTCACAAGCGTGTCACTGTCGGCACTCTTTCTCACAATCCTGGCTCTAGTTTTCTCAATAGCATTGCGCAGTGTGCATGACGACGGTGCTGCCGATCTAACTTCCAACAGCACGTCCAGAGTTGGCAAAAGCTTAGATGGCCGAGAGGTCTGGCGTTCAAACTCAAAGATGTCAGCGGATGTTCTTGTCGTGCAGCTTGTTGGGGCGATGTACTCACTTCCGAACTTCTCGTCGTAGCCTGGCGTGGTCCACTTGCCCTTCTTGACCATCTCGTCGACGGTGCGGCCGATCTCGGGGCGCGCGGCAACCACGTCGTCCACGCTGAGCTGGTTGAACGGTCGTGCCTCCTCAATGTTCTTGAGCGTCGCCTTGAGGTCCTTGAGCTCCGCCTCGATCTTGGACGCCGTCGCCTGCGCTTGCTCGACCTATTTCACGTAGAGGGTGGAGGGTACAAAAGTCAGTATGTCGGATCGTCAAAGGTGCACGGGCCCGGTTGTCGCGAATCAGTCTACGCAAGTCGATCGTCGCATTCGTCGAGCCGCATCGCAAGTCGAGTCGCTCGTCACATCAAAGGCCGAGGCGTGAGTCGAATCGCAATCCTGATATCTATGTGTGTCGATGTGGATCGGCGCGACATGAGCTGTGGACGGAGATGAGGGCGGTGCGGGTACTAAGGCGCATTAACACGGTGCTGGAACGGCCGACGGATGGCAGCTTCTGCAAGGGCGTGGGCGGTGATGGAGTGTGCTGTGTGTCGATCGATCCGATCTTGGCAGTAGGTGGAATGGCGGCGGTTCTCACGCCGCGCATTCTGGATCCAACGACGGCGCTCTCTAGTGCGCGTGTGAAAGTGCAAGCGCGTCTGCACAGCACAGCAGCGGCGGGGCGGAGATGCCGAGAGCGACGGTGTGAAGCGAGCAGACGAGTCGGGGAGTGTGCACGTCGGGGAGCTTCCGACTCGGGCGTGCCGATGCGAAATCGAGTGGATGCACGCTTGTGTCGGAAGATGCGATGCGATGGAACGTTTGGTGAATGCGATGCGATGCGGATGCGATGATGCGACGATGCGACGAAGCGACGATGCGGGCGAGGACTGAGCGAGAAATGTCGGAAAGAAGGGCAGATACGCACAGCCTTGGACTCGAAGGCGTCGATGGCCTTGAGCTGGGCCTGGACGTCGTACGTCACGGGCTTGAACTCGGCGAGGATCTTCTGCGCCTGGGAGACGACGTCCTTGTTGCGGATGAGCTTGTTGTAGTGTGCAAAGTCGACGTCCGTCTTTTGCTGCTGGAGCTGCGCGAGCTGGCGCTTGGCGTCGTCGGCGCGCTTGCGGAACGCCGAAATCTGGGCGAGCGTGTTCTTGCCCAGTCCCAGGTTGGAGATCTTGGCAAGATCAGCAGCAGCAGCACGAGCAGCCATTGTGAATGATGTGTGTGGGCGGAGAGGGCGGGGGGAGCAAAGATCGATGGTGGTGGTGGCAAGATGATCGCGACGACACGCCTCCCAGTTGCGACGGCGAAGGTTGAGCGACCAACTGTGCGTTGGATTCAACGTTTGGGCAGCGACACTGTCCATGTGCCTCGTCCTTCTCCGGGCTGGCGACGAGTTTTGGCAGCCGTTCCAGCCTGGAAATTCACCCTATCGCTTCCGACTGACGATCACTTTCGCGCGGCATCCACAGTGTTACAGCCCGGATCCACTAACATGTAGGCATATTTCGCACGAGAAAGCGCGAAATGCGAGCGTCTGTGCGCACAAATTCCACCCGCAACGGATGCGGAAGGCGGCCAGCCCAGCTCGACCTCGAATGCACACGGCCAAGCCACGTTTCAATGCGGAGCCACACTGCCCGGACCCCTCACGCTCGAAAGTGGCCTCGAAAGCGGCCGTGTCTGGGTTGCTTTGATTGCGGCCGAGTGTGTGCGTGTGTGTGCAAAAGATGAACGCTGGTGTACGGTTGAGTTGAGCTGCCAAATGCGTTTGTTCGTGCGCTTTCTCGCCATTTCCGCATTTTTGGCAGTTGAGCTCGTGGCGCGCGGGGGCGGCGGACCAACAAGCGAGGCGAGAGAGACTTTGAGCCGCGCCCGAGTGTCAGTGCGCACTGTCCATCCTCTCTCGCTCACACCAGCCTCGACGAAGCCTCTGACACTGTAACCACCAACATTGCCGCCACCACCATCTCACAGCACACACCTCACTGCTGTTAACCACCGCTTCTGATTTGAAAGAGCGCGCGCAACCATGTCGCTGCCTGCCAACTACACGGCGCTGCTCAACGAGCTCAGCCGCGACGTCGCTGCATCTCGACCTGCGGATGCGCTCCAGTTCTGTGCCAATTGGTTCAACGCCAGGCTCGAACAGCAGCGTCGCCAGCATCTCTCCGGCTCATCAGCCTCGGCATCCAATCTGGACAACTCCATAGGACCTTCGGATCTCGACTTTGGCGGCGTGCCGCCCGGTCTCGCGTCGCCCACGCAGCGCGCCTCGATCTTCAACTCGGACCCATTCGCCTCGTCCAGCCGCTCTGCCACCGAGCCCGTGCCCATGGACGCTTCGCAATCGCCCGAGTCTGCCTACGCTGCACCACCGGCTGCTGGCTCGTCGGCGTTTAACGCGTCGTCGTCCGCTTCGGCACCCGCCGCCGCTGCTGCTGCTGCCAACCTACCATCTTCGATCGCATCGAGCGCCGCCACGCCGCTGATCCCGCCTACGTTCAACCTGGGTCGACGCACGTCGGTGTCGGCCGAAAGCATGGCTCCGTCCGGCGCGGGCGCCGAGCACGACGGCACGCCTCTGCCCAAGACGGTCATCCCCAAGTCCGAGGAGAACATGCAGCGCATCCGCGGCTCGATCGGCAACAACCTGCTCTTCCGCAACCTCGAGCAGGACCAGTACCGCGACGTGCTGCTCGCCATGAAGGAGGTCAAGGTGGAAGCCAACGTGACCGTGATCGAGCAGGGCGCGCAGGGCGACTATTTTTACGTGGTCGAGTCCGGTACGCTGGACGTCTACGTGCGCGCGCCCAACCGCGGCGTCGGTGGCTCGGATGGCGAGGTGGAGGCAGCGGCAGCGGCAGCAGGTGGCAGCTCGACGCTGGGCGACAAAAAGGTGTCGTACGGTCCGGGCTCGTCGTTTGGCGAGCTGGCGCTGCTATATGCGCAGCCGCGCGCTGCGACAGTGGTGTCGACGTCGGCGTGCACGCTGTGGGCGCTGGACCGCATCACGTTCCGCTCGATCCTCATGGAGACCAACTCGAGGCGCCGTGCGCTGTACGAAAAGTTTTTGATGGACGTGCCGCTGTTCGAGCGTCTGAGTGCGGCCGAACGCGCCAAGATCTCGGACAGCCTCGAGCTGCGCGAGTACGCACCGGGCGAGGCGGTCATCACGCAGGGCGAACGCGGCTCGGAGTTTTTCATCATTGTGGACGGCGACGCCGAGGTGCGCAAGACCAAGCAGGCGGGGCGCGAGGAGGTGGTGGGCAAGCTCTCGCGCGGCGACTACTTTGGCGAGCTGGCTCTGCTCAACAATGCGCCGCGTGCTGCCACCGTGGCGGCGGCTGCGGCTGCGGCTGCTGCTGGCGCAAAGCTGCGCGTGGTGACCATGTCGGAGCGCGCATTCACGAGGCTACTCGGTCCGCTCGCGGGCATTCTCGAGCGCCATGCCAAGGAGACCTACGGCGACTACTCGGGCAGCAGCGCGGCTGCGACGACGACGACCGCACCGGCGGTGGGAGCATTCAGCATGTCGGATGCGGCTGATTCGAGCCTCGCGCATCCCATGGACTCGTCGGCCAAGCCGGGCCAAGGCGCGTGGTCCGCACCCAACCCGTTTGCTACGGCCTAGACTCGCTTTCCTTTCCCTCGCTCTCTCTTTCTCGCTCTCTCTTTCTCGCTCTCTCTCTCTCTC